AATTCGATCTATTCTACTATTCAATTTAAACAAAAATAGAAACATAGAAATATAGCGATGAAATTTCGCTATCTCATAATATAAGGATCAGTCCATAATTGACCCTATAAAATCTCATGCATAAAATCAGTTTATTTTCAAAAAAGTCCGAAGAAATACACCTAGGCCCCTATCGGGCCTGTTTGTTGATAAAAAACATTGTGTTTACTGCAAAATATCACTCCCAAGTTATTTGGATCTAATTTCGACGAATGCCTGACGGTGGCAAAGAAAGTGCTCCAGAGTTTCACTGTCCTCTCCACATACTCTACTTTCGTCTGAATCCGTACATCCAATTTTGTATAGCTGGACCCGAAATCCTGTGTGTCCACGTACCATTGTTCTAATCTCAGACTTGCCCATTTTGTGGAAGCTTCTCGTCCTGCTCTCATTAGGGTCAGACCATAAGATCTTTATGGTTCCATCCACCATTTCATTATTCTAAGAGGCCTTATGGGATTCTCTCGCCCATATTTTTAATTCAGCCTTGTTTGGGTCGAATGGTTTTGCGTTCGTTAGATTAACTATCTCGAGCTCCCTTCCCTTTCAAGCTAATACATTTCCTCTTTCGTTGCCTACTACTCCCGAGTGTCCTGGTACCCATATGATACAATCCTTACCTCTGGGAGAACTTTTTTACAATCCAATACGGTCTTAGCCATCCGTATAGCAATGGATTCCTACGGGTATTTGCTCTAATGTTCCGCTTGACCATGACCTTCTATCTGAGAACAGTGTTTCAAAGTTCCCGACATATTTTGTGTCTGATATGTGATCGGGCACGTTCAAAGATTGTGTATAGCCTTCTAATGTATTGATGATGTGTCTTATAACGGCTTTTGGTCAGTTCGCCAAAAGTTATGAGCCGTTCGACTGTAAGTGCCGCTTCATATCTTATATATGTTTCAATAGGTGGAGTATCTAGCAACATTTCCAGAGTGTTGGTTGATGTAGTACTCATGGCCCCACTTATACCCAAGCAGCATATACGTTGAACTTCCTGTAGTAGTTTGATATTACACTTTTTGTCCAAAGAAGTCCACCAGTTTATTGAGGCATAAGATAGAATTAGTCTAATTACACTTTTATGAAGCCGATGTGTCATAGTATTATTCTACATATCGCCCAGAGGCGTCTAAGTCCTTTCTTGGTTTGGGACCATAGGAGGCTTTTTCCATGGTTACCCAGAGTAAATGGGACAAAATGCCACCCTGTACTGGTGTACCGCGAAATACCCCTTTTCCTGATGGTTATCAGGAGTATCAGTGTGTAAGTTATTGAAGGCGCCTTCGATGTCAATCCATACCAGCAGTGTATACAGTTTGCTATCGTAGGATTAACTTTTATAGCGAACATCTTTATTCAACACCGTTTCCACCGATCGTCCCTTTACATAAGCATGCTGCATATATTTGAGGTACTTGTCTAGTATACTGGTTAAAAAAAAAAAACGTTTTTTCAAACTGTATGCTATGATACCTCGAAATCTGATATTGAAAAAGTAATACCCTGGTCTCTTGGTTAAATTTTTTGGTCTATATTGTTTATAACAACACAAGTTTCATTTTATTTTTTTTTAATTTTTGTCGTTGGTTGTTTAGATATCTTATCCTGATCGTGTATAACTCGGATTGTTTACCCGAGATTATTAACAAACAGCCCAATGGGTGATATCTTAAACGATTATTATCACATCTATCAAATTAAGATTTTTGACAAATAATTATTTGGTAGACCATCCCTGATAGATAAGTAATTCTTTTTCTCAACTTCTCTTTTATTTCTTTAGTGTCCAAATAAAGTATTTAAGGTTGTACAATTTTTTTATTATAATTCTAATGCAAAGTCAGAACTATGACTTTTTACAACATTTTTAACCACTTGTAGGGTATTTTCTTAAGTTAATCCTATATAGCCAATTATTTTGTTTCACAACAATTTTCCTATTACTACATTTTAATCATTTCTTTGTGGCATTAAGTTTAAAAAGAAACACACACACACTTTCAAACACTTGTATTGTATTTATCAATTTCCACTAACTACCTTCTTGCAATATTTTATTTTAATTTTGTAAAATACAGCAAAATGGGAAAGGAAAGTTTAACAAAAAAAGTTGTTCATTCTTTTGTTTATTCCAAATGCCAATTGGACGGAGAAGGAAATAACAAAAAAAAAATAAAGAACAGTTACTAACGAACTGTCTACAAGTGTTGCTGTTATTGCTTTATTGTTTTCTTTTTGCTTTTGTTTTGATGAAAGCAAAAACAAAGAAAATCTATTGACGTTTTTGTTTATATTGTTTATTCATTGTTTTGTTTATACTCACTCTCATACAAAACCCGCAGCTGTTAGAAAAAAATGCATGTTCGAACTTCGAATAGAACCGGTATTTAAATGTGCTGGTGTTTAAAATGCATTGTTACAAAAAAAAACTGGAGCTTTTTTGTAAAATTTGTTTTAATTAAAGCTCGGTTTAGTAAACATTTCCGAAAATTTTTGCATGATTTTACTAAATTCTATTAATCATGTTTAAGCGGACATTGCTGAAATGAAATATGTCAAAACAATTTTAGTTTTTTTGTAAATTTAACAACAATTTATGTTACTATTTTAGTTAAACTTGATTTCCTTTGTTAATAAATTTGTGTGATAATTAAATTGAACAGATACAGTGTATGTGTGTGATAAAATGTACACATTAAAATCATGGGAACATTAGTAATAGGTAGGTATTTATCCATGGTTACAGTTAGGATTCCAAATATAGCAAATTCTTGATCTATTTCCATAGAATGTTTTAGATAGATTTCTAGTTGAATAATTTCTGTTGAAAAATTAGGTTGTAATTCTTAATTATAAATGGTTTTGATTGAATGTTTATTTATAAAGGAACTTTCATCAGGGATGTTATATCGGGAATAATGTCACTCCCAAGATATCCTAATCTAATTTCGGCGATAGCCTGAGAATGGCAAAGGAAGTACTCTTTAATTCTGTAACAAAGTACACACATACCATCATACTAATCTCAGACTTGCTCATTTTGGGGAACCTTCTCGTCCAACTCTCTTTGAGTCCTGCCAAGGGATATATGTTGTTCTACCTACTGATTCATTACATTAAGGGCCAATCTTTAGGTGAAAGATTAGCGATTAAATTAAAATTAATCCTCGAAAGATGTTTTTGAGTACTCAATTAGTTAATTTTGTTTGCAAGTTTAAGCGCCCAATGGAGATGGTTTAATCTTAAGCACGAAATGCAAAAGTGTAAACAGCTGATGCAAAAAATTTATAAAATTTTTATAAATATAAACATTAAATTGTTCTATTTATTGATTAGTATAAATTATGGACACTTCAAAATACATTTTTTTGTTTTTAATTTAAGTTTTCATTAATTTTCATATTAAATTTACAATTGTCTTCTTCTTCTTTTTATAAAATATGCACTGTTTTGATAACAAACAGTGAAGTTTTCTGTTGTATTGTATGGCAACATTGCGAAGTTTAATCTTGTACTCAAAAACATCAAAGGGGATTAACATAAGATTAAATTTATTTTTAGATTAACTAATCTGATTATTAATTGGCATTTGATTACCATCTCAAAAACCCGCTCTAAGAGGCCTTATGGGATTCTCGCCCATATTTTTAGTTAGGCCCTCGTTGCTTCAAATGGTTTTGCGTTTATCAAGTTAAGGTCCCTTCCCTTAAAAGATAATACATTCGCCCTAATACATTCGTTGCCGACTACTACCGAGTGGTCTGGTACCCGTATGATGTAAACCTTACCTCTGGGAGAGTATTTGGTTAAAGTTTTCTTACAATCCAATACGGTTTTAGATTTTACCTTTTGTTTTTGATTTCTGCCTGGAAGCTAGAGTTGTGATTAGGTAAACGGTGGTATATTTCAGTTTCTTGGTCTTCTATATAGAACCCCAGGCCCGTTTTATTCCCTCAGTTTGGAGCCATCCGAGTATCAACGGATTCCTAGGGGTATTTGCTCTAATGTTCAGCTACTTGGGATCGGTGTTTAAAAGTTTCTGGTATGCGATCAGGTTTACGTACGCCTAAAGTTAAAAGCCATTTGGCTGTAAGTGTGGACTCATATCTTATATATTTCGATCTGAGGATTCTTCTTTCTCAAATTTACTATGAAAACATTGTTAATATAACAAAATGTTCTAAATTTTCATTTATCACTTCTTTAACAAGGCGTTATGTTTATTAAATTAAATTTTCTGTTCTAATAACTTTTTTGGCTAGAAAAAAACAGCAATAACAACAACAAAAAATGTAAATAGTATATTTAAGAATAACTGAAACAAAAAATGGGTAATGGTGTTACATTTCTTAAAAGAAATCACAAAAAAATCATAATAAACAGCAAAATGAACTTGTTTCTTTTCTTACATTTACAGCTTTCAATAATAAAACAAAATTTCATGGCTACTATCAAAAAACGCTTTTAAATTTAATCAGCTTTAATAAAAACAAAACTTAAACATCATCATCAAAATCAAAATCATCAACAACACACCAGCAAAAAATAATAACACGCAGCATTTAACAATAAATAAAAGATATTTAAACAAATAAAGTTGACAAAAATATACAAAAATTTTAACAATGAATAAAACATGAAGAAAAATGTTCAAAAAAAAAAAGAACACACTTAAATGAAAAAAATTAAATTCAACTAAAACTAGAATTAAATTTTAGAAAATGACAAACAATTGATGCTCTAAAAAATTTCAAGAAAAAAAAACAAGAAATTCACATTTACAAACATTTATACATAAAATACAAACGCACCACAAAAAAAACATTTCACAAATATCAACTTATGACAACAGCTGAAAAAAAATTATAATCGTTAAAAAAAATAAATTTCATTTTTCTTTTTCTAACACTTTATACGATTCACAAATAATTTACAATGAATTGTGAAAAATCCAGTGAAACTTTTAAAAGTGGCAGCAGCGGTGTTGATGGTGGTCTTAAGAATTTTTGGAATGACCACATTATGGAGCGTTTCATAAAAGCGAATCTGTTTATTATTTGCTGCGTGGCTGCTGGTTTACTTTTGGTAAGTCCACATTTTTTTCTCATCAATATTTTAAAGTAGAATAAAGAATTTTTGAAATTGTTTTGAAAATTTCAAAAGCATGATTATATTTTTTTTGAAATTTATTTGGAAATGGTGTAGTTATTTTAGAACAAGTTTTTAATTTTCAAATTGAAAACAGTCCAGACACAGTGGTTTAGAATCTCTTGAATTATAAGTTATACTAATCTGAGTAGATTTATCCATGACCATCCATGTAAACCTTATAAACAAAGTAGCAAATTTAGAAGATAATTCGATGCTAGACGTTCAACTAAGGACGAACCCTATTGATTTTGAAATCCATTCATTATTTCACCAAGCAACCAAACTACAAAATTGGCTTGGGTCCATAATTGACCATAGCCTCCATACAAAATCCCCTTCGCCTCGTATATTGACTACTTAGTCTATTGCCTAATCTATGAACTATGCTATTGAGTTATCTATTGAATAGAATGCATTAGACTATTAACTAGTCTATGGCTAGCCTATTGACAAGTCGATTGAATAGTATATTTACTAGTCTAGTTTATTGACTACTCTATTGATTAGTCAGGCCACTTCTCTATGGACTAGTCGATTGACTACCACTTAATTATTCCACAGACTACTATTCCATTGATTAACTATTCAATTGACTATTCTATGGACTAGTACACTGATTAGATAATTGACTTTACTATGGACTAGGTTCGACTATGGCCATTTACTACTATAGGAATAGGCTATTAACAAGTCTATGAACTAATCTAAGTATTTACAAGTGTTTTACTAGTTTACTAACTACTCTATGGAATAGTTTATTGGCTGGTCTATAGACTAATTTTTGCATTAGTCTATTGACTACTCCATGGACTTTCCAGTTTGGGAAATAAATAATACCTTTGCATCCTGTCTACAGTAATAATCATTGACTGATAAGTTGAAACTAATTCCCTACCATTTGCAAGAGTGCCGGGGAAATACCATCCGGCTTTGAAGCCTTATACAAATGGAGTAAAACTCTGATCTATCTGATAGTCTCTCCTTCTCTCGGTATCGATTTCAATTACACCAGGAGGGCAATGTGAGTTATGCATTTCATGGACTGCTCCATATCAAACTTCTGTCCATATCATTGACCATAGTTTTTTGTTAGAATATACATTTTTGGATCTTCAATTCGTTATTAACGCTATCTGTTCACAAAAATACTTCCAGGAGTCTCGTTTTGGGAAAATTCTTCCAAGATTCCAGATGGCCTCAATTAACTGGATTTCTCTAGAACAGATCTTCACTCGCAAAGAGGTCATCCCCGAACCAAAGAACTTGTGAACTTGCGTCTTTATATATTAAAGGCTACCCTATCTATTTCAATATTGAAAAGTGTCCTGTCCTAAACCCTTCATTAGTAAGGTCCCGAATATTGTACAATTAGATTTATAATATTCCTCCATTTGACTCCTCTAGATAGCACGTGGTAACTAATGATGCTAAGGCAACCGTTGTTAGAAATTCTATGCCCTTTTCGGGACTAAAAACGATGTTACATTCCATCGATGGTGTTTTTCTGAACGGCCTTATAGTCCAATTTCCTATAAATGCCCTCCATTACTCCAGTATATCGTCATTCTTCAGCATACTTTAAGAGCAGTAAATGGTCATTTATCTTAACTAGCCTCACCTTAGAGGAGCCCCAGGGAGAGGGAATACTCACCATATTGTTGAGATGTCAACCTCATCACCATCACACCCCGATGAACTCAATGCTAACGCTCTCTATGGGATGTTTGACCTTAGCAGCGATTACGTGGTCTACTATGTTACTGTTGACCAAATCTTCTATTAACTTTTTTTTGGACTGTCACTCAGGAGATGACTCCTACTTAAGCAGTATATTGTGTTGAAACTAGGAAATTATGTTGTTGGGGGTAGGATAGAGCTGGTAGTGTTTGTGGACATTTGATTTAAATAGTTTTCTTCGAAATTAACAGGGAATACTTCTGCAGGAAGTTTGTTCAACTTACGAATATTGCGACTGAAGAATGAATTTTCCCTGTAATGTGTTGTGCGGTCCACTGGCCAATCGATTACAAATGGGTGTATTATCTTCTTATTGTAGTGAACTATTTTGTCCGTCGGCTTACTGGTGGCATATAGTGTATAGCAGTGATCGTCCCGGTGCCTTTTATCGGCTTTCCTGGCATAAGATGGCAGTACTTTTCAGCATATTCTTTTTCTTATACGTTCGTAGGACTTCTTTTCAGAAACCCTTTCCTCCTTGGCCGACATGCGCACCTTCCCAATTTCATGCTTGGCTTTATCTCCCACACTCGTAGGATTCTGACTGGAAACTCTTTGTCTTGGCTTTGTCACTATTTTTCAAGACGTGTTTATTCTCTGTGTTAACTTCTCCAGGAGATCTGGTTCTCTTTGCCTCATAGGTTGAAAGATATATCCTTCTAAGATTTTTAGGATTGGCCCAATATGATCCTCTAGAGCATTGTCTTCAACCTTCTCCTCTGTGCTGTATATAGCCGTTTTTTTCATAGTCAATAGCTTTGCTATGCTGTTATTTATTTCTTCCACCATTTGCTCTACTTCATTCTTGTTGGGATTTGATATGATGGTGTTGTCATTATCATCTAAGGATTCTGAGTGAAAACCAAAGTATAATGTCAGAATCCTCACCCTCCTTCACTTTCATCTATACATTTTTGCGTATGGTATGCTATACATTACCCGGACTTAAGCCCAACTGAAACCCAACTTCGTAGTAGTCTTTTACTTACGATTGCAGGAAATGACAACACATGACTCGCCAACAGTCTAAGTACGTTTTTGGTTTGTTTTCCTGAGGTGAAACCACAGATGGAAGGACATAGATTGTCCATTACATCCCTTATCGTTATTTAATTTTAATCGTTATTTTCATGGTTTGTATCTTATTTTTGGGATGACTATCTGTTATCCCTTCCCTGAGGTGACACCACTAGCTAGGGAACATACACTTTTAATATTGATTAAAACGTATTATACATTTCTCCGTTTGTTTTGAATTATTTTTTTATTTTCCAATTGGTCTCCTTTTCAGATTGTCTATTTGGGTGCATTTTCATGTGAAGTGTCATGGATTTTAGAAGCAAAAGGTGATTTACCCTATTCAGCCTACATATTATGTACACAATACTTTGTGGTGTTTGTAGCCACAACAATACTAATACATGGCCTAGTAACGGGTCTATCATGGGGGTTATTTGCCTGGTCGGTGGTTATAGGTATACTATCAATACCCGAATTAATATTTGTCATGATTATGACCACACAACATTGGGTAAGTTATATGAAACTAAAAATAAAATTATAAAAATTAAACATTTGTGTAACTTTTAGGGCCTTCAATCCGTTCATGGTTTAACCGAATTAATAGCGTATTTAGTGCGTTTGGTTATAAATTGTTTTGCTTTAATTTGCGTGATACCAACTGGCCTAAGGTATGTAGAAAAAAATATTAAATAAATAACAAATATTATTTTAGCTAAATATAAGTGGTAGTTTAACTTTTTCTTAAATTTATTTATAATTGTGTGTTAAAAAAACAAAAATAAAGTAAACGGAATACACAAAAAAAAAAACTAACAAACATGTTATAAAACTTGTTAATGGAAATTTCTTTCAAGACGTTGAGGTTTTAAAACTGTTATAACTTCTTTTCACTTTCATTTGCTTTTAATTTGCCTGAGTTTTTTTTTTTTTTGTTTCTTTTTATTTGCTTAAGGGCAGTTAAAATTATAATTAACTTAAACTTAGCGTTAAATAATAAATAACTTTAAAGAATGTTATTCACATTATTATGGAAATATGTACTAATTGGTTTTATAACAAATTAATATTTTACAAATGATAATGGTAAACAATTAGAACATTAGTTATTTAGTTTGTTAGGTAGTTAGTTAGTAAGTTAGTTAGTTAGTTAGTTAGTTAGTTAGTAGTTAGTTAGTTAGTTAGTTAGGTTAGTTAGTTAGTTAGTTAGTTAGTTAGTTAGTTAGTTAGTTAGTTAGTTAGTTAGTTAGTTAGTTAGTTAGTTAGTTAGTTAGTTAGTTAGTTAGTTAGTTAGTTAGTTAGTTAGTTAGTTAGTTAGTTAGTAGTTAGTTAGTTAGTTAGTTAGTTAGTTAGTTAGTTAGTTAGTTAGTTAGTTAGTTAGTTAGTTAGTTAGTTAGTTAGTTAGTTAGTTAGTTAGTTAGTTAGTTAGTTAGTTAGTTAGTTAGTTAGTTAGTTAGTTAGTTAGTTAGTTAGTTAGTTAGTTAGTAGTTAGTTAGTTAGTTAGTTAGTTAGTTAGTTAGTTAGTTAGTTAGTTAGTTAGTTAGTTAGTTAGTTAGTTAGTTAGTTAGTTAGTTAGTTAGTTAGTTAGTTAGTTAGTTAGTTAGTTAGTTAGTTAGTTAGTTAGTTAGTTAGTTAGTTAGAATTAATACATAACTTTATCCAACAAAAATTGTACCACTTCTACAACTAGTTCTTGAACACATGATCATAGCTGGTAATCGTTCAGTTTTGGCGTTGAATATCATTAGATATTTTGTCGAAACTAGTTGTTTTTGCTTTCCCAAATTGTTAATTCAAACTAATAACAGTTTTTTCTTCGCCTTTCTTAAGTATTTCTGTTTGGAATAGAAAACGTTTGTATCTTAATTCTTTTTTGTTTTTTTTTCGGTTACAACCTAAAAACGTTCATTTCCTAAGTCTTTTTAATGAATGAGCAAATAATAAATAAAGTTTGTGTCTTTAGTCTTTTGCTGTGTTAATCAATTAAAGAAGTGTGTGTCTTAAGTCTTTTTTGTTTCATAAATGCATGAGAGTTTAAATAAAGTACGTGTCTTAAGTCTTTCATTGTATTAATCAATAAAAGGAGTATGTGTCTTAAGTCTTTTTGTTTTATATACAATAAACTGTATGTTTCTTAATTCTTTTGATTTTTAAACAGTAGAGAACTTTTAGGAAATGGATTTTGATTACTGGACGCTTTGTTACCTAATCGAAGTTTAGTTTAGTTTAAAAGGGTTGTGTACCAAAAGATATACATCCACTCGGAGACCATTGTGATTCTTTAAGAAAGAAGGAATATTGAAAGAGGTCAGAAGTAGTCAATCAACTAGTGCATAGACTAAGCAATGAAGAAATAAACAGACCAGTCCATAGACTAGTATATAGACTAATCAATGGACTATAGCCTTGCTTGTATACAAATCAGTAGTCCAATACTTACACTAATCTATAGATTAGGCAACAGAATAGTCAATAAACTTGCTAGTAGCCTATTCAATAGACTATTCCACAGACTGGTCCATAGACTAGGAAATAGACTACTCAACAGATATGTATATAGACTAATCGATAGACTAGACCATAGACTAGACCATAGACTGGACAATAGACTAGCCCACAGATAAGTTAAAAGTCTATAGACCAGTCAATAATATAATGGACTAGACTATAGATCAGTCCTTACACTAGGCAATAGACTAATTTGTGAACTTAATACTTTTAAATAACAAAAATGTACCAAAAAATTCGCTCATATACATACGCCTTTAACTCTCGTTATATTTCTAACAAAATGTTCTAAATTTCTTTCAAGATGGCGTCGTGAATCTCAGGTTCTCACACAGCTACAAGATTTAGCTACACGCTTGCAGCTTCAAACACCACCACCCAGTGTTCCCATAACTAAGGCCGATTCTCGACGTTCCAGTAAACGTTTGCAAAATCAACAAACAGCTTTCGAAAATGCTGGTTTTCAAATAACCGAAGCAGCTAGTAAGGCCAGTATTAATGGATCACAGCCTCAGGGTCTCAATGCATTCGGTTCACAAAACGAATTCAATGCCAGTATGTTTGCTTTGCCATTTTTGCAACAATATGCGGCACAAGGCAATAATGGCAATAGAACGGGTAAGTTAATAGATGAATATTAAAGAAATAGAAGGATAACTTACTATTGTACTCCTTTAGGCAACAATCGTGCTCAATCTCTTATGGATCTCAGATGTACTCTACCCGGTCTTTACAATCCTCGTTATGTGCTGGAAAATAGCGATGAAAAGAATGGCAAATATTTCAATATAACTATCGATGATTTAAAACAAAATCTGCAGGATACTCAAAAACAACAGCCACCTTCACTCATAGGTTCTAGCTCAAATGATCCTATTTATTGTTCCATCGAACCGAAACAGCCTTCCCCACCACAACAGAGAGGCCAACAGCCTCAACAAAGAGAACCCATGGCACTGCCACCTCATGTACAGGCGGGCAAACAGGGACCACCTACAAAATTGGCTCGCAATTGTATATCGTTGGAAAATCTCGATGGCATTAATAAAGTACAAAATGATTTGGCAGCCTATGGCAATAATCTGCTGCAGAACTATAATCAACAGCAACAATACTATCTAGCCATGTTGGGTTATATACAACAACATCAGCAGCAAAGACCACCACAGCAGTTACCCTACAATAGCAATTTGAATCTCTATCGCAGACCGGGCAGTCAGACAAGTCTAACACCTGGTGCTCCTCTAGCAACACAATTCCAAAGGCGTAATTCACAGCAGTTGCAATATTATGGTGGTTTTGGTTATGCCAACTACACCAATCCCTATATAACCGCCAATAGTAAGTTATCATTGGGCAATGAATCCGATGATTATCGTAAATATCGTGATGTGGCCTTATGAGTTAAACTATAAGTAATTTGTTTAAAGGAAACCTTCTTCCATATTTTAACGCTGAAAGAATATTATAATTTTAAGGTGCTACCCCATAAATAAGAGAGTGTAATATCAAGTCATTATTATATTTTATACAATTATATGCATAATATTTTTATATTTTTGTTTATTTGTTTAAAAACGTTTTTATTTATACTCATAATTGTGTGTTAAATTTTGTTTATTAATTAATTTTCTAAAAAAGGTCTATAATGAATGAAAGAAAGAAAGAATAAATACTATGCAAAATATTTAAAACGTTAGCCAAAGATCAAAAACTAACTCAAGTTAAACAACCAACTATAGTTTTATAACAATTGATTTAAAAAAAAGAAAGAGAAGTAAAAATATACGTGAAAAAGTATTTTTATAAAATTATGTAAAGTTTAATTGTATTGGCTACATACGCCTATAAATTGAACCTGTTATTTAGATGAAATTGTAAATTTATTATTATCTATTTTAATGTATCTTTTATTTAATAATTTTTTTTTATTTTTTTGTTTAAATTCATTTAATACAACGATTATTTTATTTAAATTAAATTTAAGTTTATCTAAAGAAAACTGTTTATGTAAATACTCGTAATAATTATTTTAAAATAAACTTAATTCGTTATACGAATTTCAATGCACTTTTTTTCTTCGTTTTGTTCATTTCATTTAAAACATTAAATAGTAAATAACAATTTGTGGTTTGTTCAATTAAACATTACAATAATAATAATAATAATATAAAGTTTAAAATTAGTATAAATTAATTTAGAATTTATAATAAATCAGCTAAGGGATTGTCTGCTATAGTTTTGGGTTTAGTTACTTCGGCCGTAGAAGCAATGGGTTTTGTTGTTGCTGGTGCTTTTATATTGGGTATATTTGTTGTTGTTGCTTTGGGTATATTTGTTGCTAAAATAAAGATAAAAAATTAAATAATTACAGGCATTTGTAGTCTTGATTTAAGCTGTCTTATCTGCTTTGTAAACTTGAGTTATGTTTTTTATATATATATATTATCATAATTAGTGTCTGACCGAACTTTTGGTTACAGTTACAAGTGAAGTTCAACTAAAGTTCAGTATTGCACATAAACCGAAATTTTTAATAGAACCACCAGTATTAGAATTTTTCTATTATTTCCTTAAACAAATGAATAAAAGTTTTGGGTTTTTGTCCACTTAGGGCTGACCGGTTAAGCAAAATCTTATTGACAGCCCCTTGTGTATCGTGTTTAATATGTAGAACCTATGTAAGCGAAAGCAGTAACTTTCCTGGCGGTCTCTCATAGATGTAAGAGTGATTTACATAGTGTGTATCCCTATCGCAAGGTGGTACTCACCAAATCCACTTAATAGGTTAGGTTGATAGAATAGGAAGTATACCACACCAAATCCGAAGAAATACACCTAGGACATTATCGGACCGGTTATGCGCTCCATTTCATGGAAGAAAAATGTTTGTTGGTAAAAAAAAGGTTGACTAAATTATTATCTTTCAGTGTTCAGAAACTCAGTAATTCCTAAGAATTTTCCAATCAGTGTTCGTGAGGAATGTTATATACGGAATAATATCACTGCCAAGATATTTGGATCTAACTGCGACGAAGAAAGTGCTCGAGAGTTTCACTATCCTCTCTATATGCTCTGAATCCGCACGTCCAATTTTGTATAGCTGTGCCTTTTATACTGGGTGTCCACTCATAATACGTACCATCATACTAACAACAAAATTGCTCATTTTGAGGAGATTTTTCGTCCTGCTCTATTTAGGGTCACCCTATAGATCTTTGTGGTTTTACCCACCATTACTCCAAAATGGCTTATGGGATTCTCTCACACATATTTTTAATTTAGCCTTCATTGCGTCGAATGGTTTTGTGTTCATCATGTTAACTACCTCGGGCTCCCTTCCCTTTAAAGCTTGGATTTCACTTTATCACCTGATATCCCCCTAATTGCCTTTTGGCTGTCTGTAAATATGTTAAGCCCTGCCCTGGGGCCATATTTGTTCTAATCCAGTCTATCCATTCCGTTATTGCTCGGACTTTTGCCTGGAAGCTTGTGTTGTGATTAAATAAATGGTGGTATATTTCTCTTCCTGGGTCTTCAATATAGAGCCCCAGACCCACTTTGTCCCCCAATTTAGAACCATCCATGTAGAAATGGATTCCTATGGGTATTTGCTCTAATGTTCCGCTTGACCAAAACATTCTATCTGGGATTAGCGTTTCAAAGTTTTCGACATATTCTGTGTCTGGTATGCGATCAGGCACGTCCGATGATTGTCTATAGCCTTCAAATGTGTCCAGTATACATTGATGACTGTCCTATAATCGCTTTTAGCTAGTTCGACTGTAAGTGCTGCCTCATATCTTTAATATGTATCAATGGGTGGAATATCTAGCAACGTTTCCAGAGCATTGGTTGACGTAGTACTCATGGCGCCACTTATACCCAAGCAGCATGTACGCTTAATTGTAGTAGTTTGATATTACACTTTTTGTCCAAAGAAGTCCACCAGATTATTGAAGCATAAGCTAAAATTGGTTTAATTACACTTTTATAAAGCCAATGTGTCATAGTAGGGCTAAGACATTTCATGCCTATAGTTCTCCTACATATCGCCCAGCATCGATGCGCCTTGTTAATCCTATCCTCTATGTGGTGTCTCCATTTTAATTTCCGGTCAAGGGTTACACATAAGTACTTAATTCTGTCTGTCACCGGTATCTTCTTGCCCAGGAAACAGGGTTCAGTATACTTAGACATTTTTGTCTTTATTGTGATAAGACAGATTTCCGTCTTCGCCGGGTTAACATTGAGGCTTCTCGGTTTAACCGGTGGTGTCAAATTTTGTACATATTGCCGGTTTATGTACATCCACTTTGCTCAAGTACTTGAGCTAGATATTCTCTGATCATTGCAGTTCAGTTAATTCCTGTCCGGCAGTCTTCAGATCATATCCACAAAGTATACAGAGATGTCACTTTTGACATTTCAAAAAGTCTAAAATCAGCTTTTGTTTTGATTTTGAAATTGTTTGGTGCGAAAGAGAGGGAAATAGTTTTTTGCTCGTGACACCTCTTTATACCCTGTGTCATATCTGAAGCGTTCCTCGACAACAATCAATAACCACACTGATAGAACAACAGCAAATTAAAACCTAAATATACTATGACAAAGAAGGAAATTTTATCAATAATACATGAATAGGAATATCGTACGACCATCACCAGGTTGAATCACACAATTTTATTATCCGACAGATTCATTTCGGTATGATGGTGGCATAAGTTCCGCATACTTCTGATTGATTCTGCCTTCCAACTCGTTTATTACCAACTCATTCCCAATATTTAGTCTCACTGTCAATACACTGAGGGATCCTATTGCACTTCCTGCGATTTAGGTTTCAACTACAGTCGCTACGTGATTCTCGAAGGGACCTCAGCCAATAGCCGGTACAAGACGAATCCTGTCACACAATCTCGAAGGTATGTTTTCCCTAACAGAGAAACACGACCAGATGGAATAAAACAGGAAATGTTAGACACAGCGTCATTGGCATGCATGGCAGAAGACTGGGATTTCGACTATTGTAGAAGTTGCCAGAATAAGACACGGTGTTTCACTCTACTTTTGCCCTGCATTCACTATACGTTTCTCCATTCAGAGATATATGAACTATCTGACCGGTTTCATCATGAAAACAGCAAGTAGAGTAATATAAGAACCCTCACAGCGATCCTTTTTTTTAATTGGACCAGCACTCAGGGGATGGCCCCTACTGCGAAGCATTGTGTTGGAACTAGGAAAATAGGTTGGGGGAAGGAGGATAGAGGGAGTAGTGTTTATGGACATTTGATTTAAATCTTCTTATATCGAAAGTGGCAGGCAATGCCTCTGCAGGAAGTTTATTCCACATACGAACGGGCTGCAAACCGGGTTTTTGAATATCTAACATATCAAATCAATATCGAGAGTTACCCCAATTTTTTATAGTTTTTATACATCTTATTTGGTCCTTGGGTCGAGCACACTGGGACTTTAATTCATTCCAATTCATCTATTTATACCTGCTAATTTTGTTACAAATTTACAAAATGAGAAACTTCACAACATTCTCCACTGAGGTCACTTGAATGTTGAAGACCAACTTAGATCATCTGTCCTGCTAAATATACCTCCAGGTCAGATTCGTATTCGTGGGCTACTCGTAAGAAGAACAAATGGCTGTTTACTTCTGGCGGAGAGTCGAATCGATTTCTGCACGAGAATTTCGTTTTCTGTACGTGTGAATAAATGGTTTGGATATACACTCGAAAAAAACTCGTTTCCGGCCATATCTGAAGAAGAAGTGCGAAGTCACCTTTATAAATAAAACCTATCCTTTTAAAGTCCAATATGTCGACTGTAAAATAACGTATTAACCTTTGTGGACAAGCAATAGGGGATGACCCCTACTTATTCGGAGCATTGTGTTAAATCTAGGAAAATTGTTTGTGGGAGGGAAGATAGAGAGAGTGACAGGGATTACTTCTGCAGGAACATGTGTTGCGTAAAAATATGAGTGTATCTGGAACAAGTTCCCTAATTTGAGAGGAATACTTTCCGTTGTAATATAGATAGAACAGTGAAATACACCCCATGTTGGGGCGGTGTTTAAGTGAATCAGTATAGTTTCCCCGACAGGTACCTTCGACCTCTCCTGTATGTGGTCGAGTAGCATCAAAATAGTCTTCGAAGCTCCGGCAGATCTATAAGAGTTGTATTCCATTTTCGGTTGGCTATATGTGATTTAAATAGTAAGGAAATCTGATGGAGTGAAGTAAATCTTACTTAGTCCAGCGGACATCGCACTGTACTTTCATGACATCAAGAGTTTCTGATTCCTTAATATTTAGAACACCCATAAATATAAATGGAACAACTTTATTTTACATTCGCTTATGTGTTAGAAAACAAAATTGAGTCTTGTGGGCGTTAAAATCGATTCTATTAACACTACACGGGTTAGTAAATCTCGTTTTGTAAAATTCTACTTAAATAAAAATCCACGGTTTTTAAATAATAATAAGTTAAAGTACTTACCAATGGTAGTTGCTACTTTTGCCGCTGAACTGCCAAACAAATCATCTTCATCGCTGTCTACATCGCTAAAAAGGCTGGTATTTGTTTGAACAGGAACTTTTGGTTTAATCTCTTTTAACGAACTCTTCGATGACGTAATTTTAGCAACATTCTTAGAGGAGATGGGAAAATCATCAGCATCACTGTCATCACTAAATAATGAAGATTTTGTTTGAGCTTTGATTTGAGGTTTTTGGCTTTTTGACATAGTCTCTGTAGTTGTCTTATTATTTGAAGTTTTAGCTGATGACAATTTGCCAAACAAATCATCACTATCCGTATCGGAATCGGAAAATAATTTAACATTTGAATCTATTGTTGATAGAATGGTAACATTTGGGATTTTGTTAGTCGATGTCGTATTAGTATGTGATGATGTTGTTGTTGCCGTTGTTTGTAGACCAGCTACAATAGGTTCTTCATCACTTTCACTGTCTAAAAATGATTTGAATTTAGATTTCGCTATTCTATTTCTATCCTCTAAGGTGTTGGAATTCTTGATGGTTTGTTTGGTTGGTATATTAGTCTTAAATAAATCGGCATCATCATCATCTTCTTCGTCGTCGAAAAATGATGGTTTCTTTGTAATCTCAGTTTTCGGTTTTAATTGATTGGATAATGTTGCTGTATTGGCTTGAGATTTATTAAATAAATTGTCATTATCTTTTATAGGTTGTGGGTGTTTGTTGTCAGGTTTCGTTGTAGTTATAGTGTTAGCATCAACATGTGCATTTAGTGCGGCATTTGAAGTCGATGGTTTTGGTTGCTCTTTTGTGACTTGCATACTAGGATTATTAGCAAAAAGATTTGCAACAATATTATCATTTTTATGTAATTTTGTCTCAGTTTTAGTTGTTGTTGCAGTTGTTTTTGAATTTATGATATGTTTAAATAGATCATCATCATCGTTCTCTTCTTCCTCATCAGCAAAAAGTAATGATGCCTTTGTTGGAGCTGGTTTTTGTTTAATTTCTTCCTTAACACTTTCCTTTGGTTCAAAGATATCTGTTTTGTCTTTTCCAATATTTTTATTAACTGTTGGTGCTGTTGTTAAGTTTGGCATATTTTGTTTTGATGAAGATGTTTCTAAAGATTTTGTTCTTTCCTGTTTTAAGTTTTCAGTTTTACTTTTGTTTTCCAAACTTAAACTTTTGCTTATATTAGAAATATTACTTTGTTCTGGTGGTTTATCCTCAAACAAACTAGATGTTAAGGGGTTTGTGGTTTTGGGAATTTCCTCCTTTATATTTTCTTTAGTTTGCTTTTGAATTTCTTTATTAATTTGTGATTGTACATCCTTTGGCGAGGTTATGGGATTGTTTATTTCCTGCTTTTTACTTTGTAATTTCTTATTTTCTTCATCACTTTCTAAAGTTGCTGTTTCTTCGAGCATACTCTTGCGATAATTTTCTTGTCTGGCCCTGCGTGTGGAGGGTCTTCGGGCAGCTGGACCTCTAACACGATTTTTAGTAACACTGGGTAAAATATGTTCAGTTTCAGCTGTTCTAATTACCTCTGCTGTTGGCTTTGTTAAGCTGCTAACTTCCTTTTCCTTTGCTTGTGCTGTGGGAACTTTAGTTTTTACCTCATTATTACTTTGTTCTATTACAACTGACTTTGTTGCCTCATCTTTGGTTTTTCGTAAAGTATTATTAGCGCCTGGTAAGAGAGCTTGCACATTAATATTTATATGAGGCATTTGTAATTTAGAAACTGGACGTTTAGCTGCTGCTGCAGTGTCATTTTTATTGTCAGGTTTTGTTAAAGCTTCTTCAAGTTTAGCAGCTATTTCCCAGCCCTTGAGTTTAACATCTTTTTCCAACTCTACTTTCTTAACATCAGGTACTTTATGATCTATTGTATCTTTACTAATTGTAGATTTTAATTCCTCATTAATGGGCGGTGGTTCTTCACTAAATATAGAATGTGCGGGTATATCTTTTACAACTTGATTTTGATTTAAAGCCATTAAAGTCTCACTGAAATCGTCATAGAACACACTATGTAAACGTTTAGTAGAATTAACATCAGTTGGATGATTAGAGGTATCACTAGCAGCACCGTGATCTTCATCATCATCTGGAGGTATATCGCTAAACAGCTGTAAACCAGTATATAAGTTATTCGGTCTAGTTTCCGCAGAATCAGTTTGATTATTACTGGCACTAGTCACAGGTACTTTAGGTAAATCAGGTTCATATAAATCATGTTCCAAATCTATGGCATTATAATTATTATTAAGTGCCTGTGGAGTTTTTGTAAGCGTCTCGAAGAAAGCATTATCATCTTCTGGAGGTTCATCGAATAATAAAACTGAATTAAAGTCATATTTATTGGAGGTATTCGATGTTTGGCTTGCATTTGCTGCTATTGGGACAGTTTTTTCGGGTATCATTGATTTGCTATCATTATTATTAAGTTCTTTATGATCTAAGGGAGTTTTCTTGGTCTCTACGTTTGATGATTCTATCGAGGTTTCTGTAGCTATTTTAGTATCTTTAGCAATTAGATTTTCATCATTGTTAAAAAGTTTGGATTGATCTGATGTTTTGTTTTCTTTATTGTCTAAAACTTTATTATCGTTTACAACTGGAACATGTTCCTTCTCTTCTGTTTTTCTAAGAATTGATTCCTTTTTGCTGGTATTTCGTTCAATAGCAGGATCTTCACTAACAGTTTTCTTTATCTCATTGTTCTCTTCTACAGTTATGGCAGATTTATTAACTATTACTTCTGTTTCTATTTGTTTGTTTGTCTCTACTAAGGTTTTTGCTTCATTGTCCTTCAAACTGCTTTTAGCAGGAATATTTTCGTTTATTTTCTCAACAATTGTTTGTCTATCAACTTGTTTGTTGGTCTCTTCTAAGGATTTTATTTGATTTTCCTTTAAACTACTTTCTCTGGGAATATTCTTAATACTGATTTGTTTTGTTTTATTAGAAAATAAATCATCTCCGTCCTCGTCTTCTAAATCATCGAATAGATTTATTTTCTTTGGTTTTTTATTAATAGACAAATTGTCCGATTTAGGTTCATCCTCAAAATCATCAAATAGATTAACAGATAACTTTTTATTTTCAGCAACTGGTTGCTCTAATATAGAATCATTAAATAAGTTAACAGATTTCTTAGCATTTTCAGTTTTAACAACAGGCTTCTCAGAGTTAGCATCATCCGTGATTTTTGGCTTTTGTGTTAAAAGTTTGGACTCATCTTTTGTTTCCTTAACGAATAAATCATTTTCATTATCTTCGGGATCATTAAATATATCTCGTACTTTAGGTTTTGCAGTATTTTCCTGAGTATGCGTAATCAAATTTCTACTTGAGTTAGTTTCTAAAGAAGGTTCTAGGAAGTCATTGTCAAATAATAAAGTCTTAGTTAAAGTGTTTTTAGTGGCTGCTTTAGAGGTAGTTTTTTGTGTAAAAGCCTTTAAGAAATCATCATCATCGTCATCATCACTGTCTTCGAAGAGAGTTTTGGGAGTTTTCGTTATCGGTTTCTCTATAATGGTGGCCTTAGCAGGCGTTAAAGTTTTCTTTTCTTCATTTTTAGTGGCAACCAATTCCTCTTTTTTAGTTAAAGCTGTTAATAAATCATCTTTAGCTAAATCGTCTTCATCATCATCGAAGAGATTAACTGTTTTACGCTTAATATTACGACCAGAAGATATTGAGGAAGAAGCAGTAGATGAGGGTATATCTTCTGGTGGCTCAGCAAAAAGATCCACAAAGGGAGGAGGAGGTTGGGTTGCGAAAACAGGCGGTCTTTCTGTATTCAAAGAAGGTTTATTATCTGCAGGTCTTATAATATTTTGAGCTGAGGACACCGATGAAGATGTTGTTGAAGATTCTAGATCTTCTGGTGGTTCAGCAAATAAATCTACAAATGGTTGAGGTTGTTGTCTATATTGCATAGGAGGTGTTTCTTTATTATGAGATGCAACTTTAATTGATTCCTTAGAAGATATCTTAGAGTTTAATGAAGTTTTACTCTCTGATCTTTGTGTTAAATTATCCGTTTGTTTTGTGGTTCTCAGAGGTTTTTTAGCCAAAGAAGATGATGGTGTAGATAGAGAAGACGATTCACTAATTGTTGCTGTATTTCTGGCCACATTGATGGGTATACTTGGTGTTCCTGGATGTAGGGGCTGTGATCCTCGTAATGTGGTGGCATTTTTAACCTCAATATTTGTATTTAAATTGTCATTATCTATGGAATTACTTGATGCCCATTCGGTATTCGATTCAAATGATTCATTATCATCCAAGTGTGAAGTTGAAGATGATTCAGAAAATGCTTCGGATATTTCATCACCAGAATAGTTGTTTTCTTGTTGATTTTCATATAGACCCACATGCCATTTTGCATGCCAATCTTTGGAGCCAAATATGAAAGGTAGAGGTTTTTCATTATAGGGATTAATAGGTTGATAAATGCAACTGAAATGAAAATACATTTAATTAAGTAATAGTTTATGAAAGTTATTAAAAAGATACACAAATCTTTGCGATAAACAATAACCAATTGCATTTGATCAAGAAATACTTACGTTTTTTCTTTAGATTTTTCCTCTTCATCCTCATCAGAATCATCAAGATCTATTGAATACTTTTCGTGACAATTTCTAAGGACTTTAAGATTATTATCCAGAAATTTGTTAAGTATTTCTTTGGATGTTGGAGTATGTTCAATTGACTAAAATAAATAAATGGAGATGGTGAAAACATAAATAAAGCGTGATAAGGTAATTTTTGCGAGAAGTACTTTAATTGGCGTGTTGATATGTAGGGTATAGTTTACAGAATTATAGAAATAGTTTCAAAAGGCTTAGTGTTTGGAGCAAAAATAATACTTCGAGCCAAATTTGATTAAGTTATGACGGAAATTGGAATGTCACACAGACGGACGATCAGAAAGGTAGATATATTATTATTGTAAATAGCAGTACAACAACCAGTGCCATTAATTAATAAAAATAATTTAAAACTATCTCTGTAGTGATGTATTTTCACCGCTACATTACTTACATTAACACTATCATTGCCAGTGGCTTCATTTGCCAATGTTTCATCATCATCTTGCACACGACATTCAACAAACTGATTACCAAACTGCAAAGTGGTCAAACTATTGGCCACATTATCCAAAGCTATATTTGTTGATCTAATATTATTGTTGAGTTTAGTCAGAGCCTCTGTAGTTCTTGTGGCTCTAGTTTCCAAATCCTATAGGAATTTGCAATACAAATTAGAATGTCATTAAATTCTCATTACTTTTCGTATAAGATCATCAAATAATACCTGTGATATTTGATTCATCCATTGTAGAAGTGTAAAATCACCAGCAAATGTCCATTTTGGAGCTTGTTCCAAAATATTTTCCAAATTAATTGGAGTTTCATCCATTTTTTTCGTTGTTTCTTATCTTTCTTGTAAATTTTGCTGATATTTTTGTTTTGTTTTGTTTTCAAGTGTCAGTGATGCTAATTTTGTTTGTTTCTGCTGCATTTTGGGATATCTAAAACAATTTAGCGGTTCTTTAAAAGTCTAGCGATTTATTACAAATTTTGCCCAATCATTATAAAAGTGATTGTGGTATTATTTTATAAACCAATTTTCATATAAGACTTTATAAAACATATATTCTGATTCCATTTAAAGTTAGTTAATTAGTCTAATTATTAGTTATACCCTACACCACTTTAGTGGGGAGGGTATATTGGATTTGTGCTGATGTTTGTAACGCACAATAATATTGGTCCTATACCCACCTTAAAGTATACCAATCGGCTTAGAATCATTTTCTGAGTCGATTTAGCTATGTCCGTCCGTCTGTCCGTCCATGTAAACCTTGTAATCAAACTACAGGTCGCAATTTTGCAGATATTTCAATGAAATTTGGCACATGATCTTCTATTGTCCCAGGGACGAAGCCTATTGAAAATGGTTAATATCGGTCCATTATTTCACCTAGCCCCCATACAACTGAACCCCCGAATAGGGCTTGTAAATTTTGTAATAAAACTACAGGTCGCAATTTTGAAGATAATTCAATGAAATTTGGCACATGATCTTCTATTATCTGAGGGACGAAGCCTATTGAAAATTGTTAATATCGGTTCATTATTTCACCTAGCCCCCATACAACTGAACCCCCGAATAGGGCTTGTAAACATTGTAATCAAACTACAGGTCGCAATTTTGAAGACAATTCAATGAAATTTGGCACATGATCTTCTATTGTCCCAGAGACGAAGCCTATTGAAAATGGTTAACATCGGTCCATTTTTTCACCTAGCCCCCATATAACTGAACCCCCGAATAGGGCTTGTAAACCTTTTAATCAAACAACAGGTCGCAATTTTGAAGATAATTCAATGAAATTTGGTAGATGATCTTCTATGGTACCGGAGACAAAGCCTATTGAAAATGGTTAACATCGGTCCATTATTTCACCTAGACCCCATACAACTGAACCCTACGAATAGGGATTTTAAGTTTATAATTATGTTTACTATACAAAAGTTCTATACTAGCCTTGATGACTCTCGTGAATTTTATAATTATAGGGTCTCATTTGACCATAGCCCCTATACAAATCCCCCTTCAAAATTTGACTTAAATGTCCACAATTTTATTCAACAATAAATGGCTTTATTATGAAAACTACATCACATTTTATTTTTGTAACAGGTGTAGGGTATTATATGGTCGGCCTCGCCCGACTATAATTTCTTACTTGTTAAAATTTAGTTTTGTTTCTCAAATAGTATATAAAAATATCGCTCTAATGACTACATTGTTTTTAGTTGGCAACGCCGTCTAGATGCTAAAAGAAATTTTGACATTTTCTTTTCAGTTGCCGTTCAACTTTTGCCTCGTCGACAATTATTAAGAAGTTCTCTTCCGTGCGGCCGGTGGTTTTTTAAAGAAAATTTCAATATTGTGATGAAAATATTCACAAAATAAATAATTATTCCATAAGAATTACATTTATGAAGTGAAATAATGCAAATATTAGTTAATTGATAACAAAAAACACATTGAAAAATGGATGTGGACAATGAAAACTTTTACGGTGAGACACAATTTTTTTTGCATTAAATATATAATGATGATTAGTTAAATGATTGTGTGTGCGTGTGATTGTTTGTATGTATGAGAGAGATAGAGTGATTGTGTAGTGCAATTACGTATTGTGAGGTTTGTGTGTAGTAAAAATGAGATGGCAAAACACAGAGACTCATTCAATAATTCTTCATAAATATGTACAATATTGTATTTGTTGTTGCAGTCAAATGCAAAAAAATGTTTTTTTTTTATTTTATACGCCCTTCACTTTTTATAATAAATTTTGTGCTATATTTGTTGTGTTTTTCATCTTTAAAACATGCAAATACAATTTTATTGCAATGAAAGAAAAAACAAAATTATTATATTTTTAATGAAACATATTGTTTGTCTGGTAAACATTTTAGCTAGAAGTTTCTCTTTTTTATAAGAATTTTGATAATGTATTAAATAATGCGTGTTTGTATTAATTTATTTTTATCATGGGTATGAGAGTTTGTAATATATTTTAATTTATTTTAAAAATGGCTTTTAGTGCGTTCCATTTTCTTTTACCGGGCTATAAAAATGTGTAAAACAATGAAATCTTGTTTATCAACGTCGTGATTGTTTTTTTATTCATGTAAGAAAACAGGTTTTTTTTTTAAATAAAAGACCTGAAAAAATGTTGACGTTTGTGATATTTATCTTTTTTTATTCGTATTATTTACTCTCTTTCTCACTCTCTTCCTCGCTGTGATTGTTTTTTTGTTAAACGATGCTGGTAAATGCCGACAACAATAACATACCCTATACTATAGACGGAACCTGCGCACAACAGTGGTCGAAATTAATGATCTGGCGTCAAAAAATTCAAATTTTCAAACTTCGAAGTTGGTAAATAGTTTTTATCTTACTGGTTACCAACATTCCATGATCAAATTGAATTTTTCAGTTAGGCTCCTTTTCATAGAAAATGTTTTTGGTAAAAACAAAAACCTTATAGGTACCTATACTATACACTGAATGTATTATCTTCCGATGTTTAGAAACTCAGTTTCCTGGACGTAATTCCGAAGAATTTTCCAAAAACTCCCATTTTCTCAATGTCTGATTATGTTTTATCCTAACGATAACTTTACATACAAACATTATTTTAACCGGCAGTATATCTACCTGTAAAACGATAACCGGAGTTTGAGAAATTGGCCCTAAGTGTTCGTGAGGGATGTTATATCCGGAATAATATCACTTCCAAGATATTTGGATCTAATTTCGTCGAAAGCCTGACAATGGCAAAGAAATTGCTTCAGAGTTTCGCTCTTTTTACTCTATATGCTGTACATTCGTCTGAATCCGCAATTTTATACAGCTGCGCCCGTAATATTGTGTGTTCACCCAGAATTTGTACCATCATACTAATCTTAGACTTGCTAATTTTGAGGAGGATTCATCCCAGATCTGATAATATCGACTTTTTTATATAAATTCTTAATAAGTAGGGAGAGTTTCTGACTACATATTTAGTTAAACTAGGCTTATCTTGTTGTTAGATTAAAGTCAGAACAAGTTTAGACGGAAGTTAACCGATTATTGTGTTTTTCAATTATGGATGTAAGAGCAGTTAATTTTGTTAGTATTGCCAACTTATCAGTCAAAAACATAAACATTGAACAGCTGTTTTTTGCACATATTACTTTTGTAAAATTAAAAATTTTGGCAAAAATGTAAATAAACATTTAAAACAACAATAATTAAAGCAAATCAAAAAAGTACTATTTGTTGATTCTGTTTTCTCTTGGGTTTAATTGGCCAACAACACTGGGTTAAACTAAGATAATAAGTAACGTGACTGATTACTGAAAAATACAAAATATAGATGAAGATTGTCAGAAGAACCCGCTCTAAAGGTCATTATTAAAATAAGTATTATAAATTAGGTTTAAATTAGTTTCTATTAAATTAAAAATCCTATTTATTTTATTATTCCCTCTCAATTATTTTACTGTCTTTTATTTAATTTAATGGCTTTATAAATACGGGTCCGGCATAATATACATACATACTTATAGATAATAGTTTCTTTATAATATTAACAAAAACATGACTTATAGATTGCATGCTTTAAAAAAAACATGCGGGAAATGTTTTCGCACGAAAGGACACAAATAATGTTAACTGAAATGGAAATAATATAAATACCGGTTGGTCTGCAAGATAATATGGGAGAACACATTTAAAAAGGTTTTCATTTAATTATATTTAAAATTTTTTTATTAGTATGATATGAAATATAACTTCTATAATTCTAAAATTTTATATAGGCTATCTAACGTGTTGCTTAAACCTTTAAGATAAAATAAGTTATAATTATCAATAACTAAAACTTATTATAAATCTTATTATAAGCTTTAATTTCATTAAAAAGTAAATAGGTAGTACTTTAAAATTATTAAATTTCTATATTTAGATTATAAATTATACGATTATCGAATAACGATATAACTTTTGTTTACCTTACAATATTGTTATAGATTAAAAGAAATATATATTTTAAAATAACAAATAAAAACCTTTCATGAATACTTTGGTTATAAGGTAGCAGTATAAAATCTAGAGTATTTTGTATTTATTTGTATCAACCTCCATAAAAAAAGTTAAACAAAATCAAACCAATCTTATCATAAAGGAACATTTACGAAATATTTTTTAATGGTAACACCAGATAACAATACAATTGTGTGTATCGTAATAATGAGTACTCCAGCAGTATGTAGTATTGTTTGTATTTTTCATTTCATGTTGAAAGTATTATAAAATCTTTGTTTATGGGTTTTTCAGTGTTTTATTTACTTTTCATTATCTGTTTAAAACAATTCATATTTGATAAGAAAAAGGCTGTAATGTTCATTTTAAAAAGATTGCTCTCTAATGAATATTTTCTTTGGAAATAGGAGAATATCAATATGAGTGTATCGAATTTCAAATATTTCTTTTAAACGCCCCTCAATTTGACATGTGTTTTTGTTAAAGAAACTGAAAAATGCCAATTTGTCTTGGGCGAGAAATATTAAAGATTTTTTTATGCAACATAATTAACTCTTTGGGAACTACTTTTATAACTTTAGACAATAAAGTATATAAATTGCTGAAATGGTAATTAATCCACTGATTAAGTTTCTCAATATAATTTTTAAGGTTTTTAAGGAACAATAATATCTTATTTTTGTTAAATTTCAAGAAAAAGTCTTTCAATAATATATTTGTTTTTATTTATTTTCGTCTTATTTTAAATACCAGACATTTATTAGCATTATTTACACAATTGGTATGATTACTTTTATAAATAGATTAATTGACAACAGCCTCTAATATTTGATAATTACCCTTCGTCTGTAGCTTATCCAATATTTAAAGAAATACCTATAT